AAAAAGGTTGGATCTTTGGAAGGTTAGAGCAGTAAGGCTCTTCCCTTAAGCATCCACGTTCTTTGTCTTTGAAGAGCTTGGTTGTGTAGAGACAAGCAACGTCTCAGGTGGCACAACAAATCAATAGCTCTTGGTAAATGGTGAAGAAGAGAGGAAGTAGTCATAAGGCTATTTCTTGGTAAAACATCATTGTTTTCTCAGGTTTTGAGAAAGATTGTGGAGACTTGAGTGTCTCAGAATGCCAAGCAATCTCTTGGTGTATGGCACGTGAGTGGAAGGATTTGTAAGACTCATTCTGGTGAATATTGAAGCATCTCATTCATAGCATCTCAAAGATCAAGAAGCACCAAAACAATTGCAGGTTTTTTGTTGGAACTGCAGGTTTTATGTTGGAACTGCATGTTTCTTGTTGGAACTGCAGAGTTGTTGTCGCACAGTTGTTGTTGCAGGTTTCTTGTTGGAACTGCAGAGTTGTTGTTGCAGAGTTGTTGTTTTAGGGTGTTTAAAACAGTGACAGAGTTGGATAACACAAGCAACTACAAAGGGTTTTTCGGTAAGATGTTACTTCTGTTCATTTGAAGATTCAGATGGATCTTAGGTGGAGTAACAAAAGGTTCTTGAGATGCTTAGAAGGTTACAAACGTGTTGGCTCATGGTTTTGGGTGTGTAACACAACATGAAAGGGAGAAGTGAACAAGTTGTATCTTAAGGAGAGATTCTCGGCATAAGCTGGAATCAAGTGAAACGATTTCAGGGATTTATGAAATCAGGTTGCCTTGAAGATACAAGGATATGCAACATAGTGAGAAGGATTTCGGATTGCTCACAAGTTAACGTGTTGCAAGCATAAGAAGAGAAAATTCAGAGATACAAGCAAGAAGCATATGATCGAAGATGGTGTTCTTAATCATTGCTGAAGAAACCGATTGAAGATTGTGCAAGCTACATGTCTTTCACAAGGATAATTTAGATTCTGGTTATGACAAGGATGAGTACAAGTTCTATGACTCAAGTTGTATATTAGAATCTAATCATCAACTTCAAGACTCAAGTTCTGGGAGATTCTGCTGCAGTCACAAGGTACTTATGATGCTTTGTATTGAAGTTTCAGGTCTGCTCAAATTCTGCATATCTACTGGAATTGAAAGCTTGTTGGGACACGAGGTTATGTACTGGTTTTACAAGTGTTTGGCCAAGATTCAGTGATGGTTTTCATGTTATCTATTGGTTGAATAAATTTGGTAAATTCAGCTGCAAGTGGTGTTTCAAGCTTTGTTGTTATTCCAGCCCAGTAACTCATCAGATTCATGTAAATAGGGGACGCCTTATAATCTTGAATCTTATGGGCGTTTTATGGCTGTGTGAGTATTAGTAAAGGTACTCCTGGGTCAGTTTAAAAGAGGTTGCAAAATGGTTATGAAGCAAGGAAATTTTAGTGGCTTTTGGTTGAGTTCTTTGAGAAGGGTTTCTTGTTGCGGTTTTATCTCTGTGTGTATGCTATCAGCTCTTGTTGTGTGAGTCTACAGTTTATGGATAATGAAAGAACGTGAAGCTACAAGATTGCTATTTTCAGAGGAAATGCTCTATTTAAACAGAGGGGTAACACTCAATTCATTGCTGTTTTTAGAGGGATGCAATGAAGGTTGAGCTCTTGTGAGCTTGAGTGTTATGATGAAAGACTTCTAGTTCTTGGTTCAAGAGTGTAAGCTTTTGACAAGGTAGAAGAAGCAAAGATTCAAGTTTGTGCAGATTTGTGTTTTGGTTTAACAACACATATTTATTCTGTTGGAATGAATCTTAAAGAACAAAGGAGTGTACAAGGTTTTGGTTACCTCCGGGATTAAGCTATGGTTCTGCAGTGGGTATCTTGGTGGGTCTCAATTATTTCTCAGTAAAAGGAAGTAGTTGTGGACAAGAGTTTAATGGTAAAGGAGGCTGCATATTTTGTGTGGGAAGTTTTCTCAGTGTTATTTTGCAATGGCTTATGCCATGATTGTGTGTCGAAAGTCTTCCTATCTAAGGAAGTTAGGCGGCGTGTTCTGTTTTCTCATAATATTTTCTGTTCAAGCAGCGGTGCACATATTGGTATATGTTTATTTTGGGAAGGGAGAGATCAAGGCCTTTGATTTCGAATCTGAGGTGGAGATTGTTAAAGGTCAATCCAAGTTATTCTCAATCAAAATGTGAGGAAGTTTCCAAGTTAAATGAAGTCATGATTGCTGAATCATAGAGAGGTTCTTGGTGGTTCTTTGGTGCATATAAATCAGTTTGAGTGGCTGCAAAAGGTGATATAATGCGTTTTTGGCGCATTCTAACCCTTGTTTTGTAAGTTTTTATCGAGTCTTTCACTCTCTATCGAGTCATTCTAGGTACAAAAAGTGGCTGGAAGCAATGACTGGAACTTGCAATCGGATTTGGCTAGAAATGAATGAAGTTGGACCCTTTTTGAACATTCTGGAGAAAGGGAGCACCTAGTACAAAAGAGGGAGCACCTGCTCCCAGCAGAGTCATTAATGGGCCTTTTGCAAAACCCTAATTTTGCAATCCTAATTTTGGGCCAGCCGTCGTGGGCCTTTAAATATATTTTTCTCTGGATCTTTTAAGGGGAATCACGCCACACACATCATGAAGGACAGCAGCAGAGATACATCACGACGAGAGAGAGAGAGATATATATACATTTGTTTTGAGAGAGTTTGTAAGCTTGGAGATTTGTCTTCAAATACTTATCGAAGTTTTCTTAAACCCTACTCTTTTATATGTCGATTTCAATGCAGTTTATCATGTCTCTTGCTGTTGT